TCCTGACCTTATGATGAAGTGGTACCTCTTTCTACACACTGGATGACTACTCCAACCTTCAAAAACAACAGATTAAACTCAGTCTATGCATGCACCATGTTAACAGGTAAAAAAATTCAAACTTTATTTTCGAAAAGAGATAAAGTTTCAAACTTTTTGAAATTTAAAGAGGAATCTAGAAGGACAAAGACTCACCAACGACTCGGCAGTGGTCACAGTAAACAGATCTAGAGGATCTAGTCACATCCTCCTCCACAACGTCGAGAGAGACGAGTTTAGAAGAGAGATCTGAACCGTCCGTCGAATCTCCAGGTCTGAGCATAATCTGCCACGTCATGAGACTCGAGAAGAGCGTCGAAGGAGGGAAAGTGACACGCGCGTGGGTCGCGAGGAAGGTTCTCACTCCGTCGCGGAACGGCGGCAAGGTTGTCGAGTTGCCGTTGATCTCCTCCGCCGGGAAAGTAGAGAAATCGTAGAGATCGGCTGAGATTCTGTTGCTACGCCTCGCTCGCTTCGTTGCACGACCACCGTTCATCACCGCCATGACTGTAACAAGGGTTTTTTCCGACACTTAAATTAAAAGTAGAAGAAGAGTTAGAGAAGCAGAGAGATTGGAGATAGATAGATACAGAGGAGAGAGAGAAGGTGAAGAGGTTTTTAGAGAGTGTTTTTGGCGGAGAGATTTTCCCTCTCAAAAGTTTTGGGGAGGATTTTAGGGTTTTGGGGGTATTGACTAAAAGCTTGACTTGACCGATTCTGATGGGGAAAGAAGGGAGATGCTTTTTATTTTAATTGGTTTTCTTTTTTTTACTCACCAATTTCGGGAGAGAGTGGGTCCTACAGATTCCAAATTCGAGGCGGTTTCGATTTCTTTTTCTCCACGCCTTTTTTGTTTTTATTTGTTTCCTTATTTTGTTCGAATTCTTTTATTTCAATAAGTTAATAAAGTTAGCTAATTAAGTCCTATCCAATTCCGATTGTGACACCTTCTTTTGTCGAAATTCTACCCCAATAAAATCTCTCGAATCCAATTATTATATTTTTGTTTTAATTAAATTATAAGCCAATGATTTATTAGCAAAAGTCCAAAACAAATAAAAACACATCACTGCCCCAGTTAAAATACAAGATTTCTTTATATTTTTTAGTTAAGAAATTACAACATAAATTATTTATTTTACCTGTTAGATTAGTGAATAAAATATTCGATTAGTTCAGCTTGGAATTGGATTAAGCATAATCAATAGAATTATTATTTTACTTTATAGCTTTAGTTTTCCTAAATCGTCACAATTATCCCATAATTCCAGGATTACCATTTAAAATTATCTCCTTTCTAGCTAAAATAAACATAAATCCATGACTCTTAATTGCAAATTTGACCAAAAACAAAAACCCATAATAACTTAACAACCAAGGTTCCAAAAGACACTCTCATAACCAAATTTTCCAAGATCATATCAAAAACTTTATTACTATGGCCTTCCTTATTCATTCCACGACATACTATCAAACTAAGCAAAGTAGTAGTACTAAAACAAGCTCAGACGAAGAAGCGAAAATTAGCTAGAGGAGTGTCTCCTTCAGCACAAGCTCGATGTACACGGCTCATCCGATCAACAGACTTACAAATCCCGCTGCAAGACCAATCGAACGACGCAGCGCACACGTTCCCGGCTTGTGCCTTCCATTGACAATCCGGTGGAGTTCCACAACACATTGACCTCTCGTCCACATGCTCCACTTCTAACCCTAACATCCATGCTCCTAACGACACATCCTCGTTCGCGTACCGGTGTAGTATTCCCCTGCGGACATGTCCACCGTATCAAACCTCAAAATGAGAAAACTTTTACTTACTTATGTTGTATAACATCATGAATTTGAAAGTTCTTACTGGTTAGTGGAGATATATGCAGCTAAGTCCTTAGAGATTGCGTAAATCTGTCCAGTCGCATGCCTAAAGTACTTGTTACCCTCTTCTCCAAATTTCCAAAACTCTGGCTCATGATACTTCACTCCCCTATACATTTCCAAAAATCCTTACTTTAATTCAGATTTTTATCCAAAGGATTCAAAAATTTGTTATAAAGATGCTTACTTTTGTGAAAGAACAGGACCAGACTTCATGCAACCAATGTAAATCCTTGGTCTTGATTGATATCTCGCAAGTGTTGTAACAAGCATTCCCAAATTGACATGAACATCATCATCCACTTTCACGTAGAACTCTGCGTCATACATTGCAGTTGCTGTTGAGAAGTAGAGTCTTGTCTTGGTTGAGAGTTGGTGATATCCTTCAATGTGTTTTAGTCTCAAGAAATCTTTATGCTCTGAATCTTCTTCATCTATGGCTTTGTCTAATACTCCTCCTGGTGTTGCACTGTGTCCTATCACAAACCTGTCAAATAAAAATCCAAACTTTCTCTGTTTTATATGACTGAGTTTTTGGTTATTGTGATTTTTCATGTAGTGAATTGAGGATACTTGTGGCTTACTTCACAACCTTACAACAATCCCTTTCTCTTTTTCGATTTTCTTTAGCTTTTCGCCTGTTGGCATCCATGTTTGTCTCACCGAGTCTCGTCTTTTCTTACTACTGAATGCTGTGTTGATGCCTATTACTGCAAACACTTTCTGCAGACGACTCTGGTTTTTCGCCGACCGTTCGCTCCAGAAATCGCTGCTTCTGTCGCTGATACGCGCTGCTTCTAACTCCATCTCCAATGTTGACATTGTTCTCTCCAATGATCTAATAATATAAACACTTTTTTGTGTTACCTCCTCTGTCTCAATTATGTTAAAACACAAGAAAGGATATGATTTTAGTACTTTACTGCTTGGTGTGTTTTCGATACTTCTCCTAATATGTCTCTGGATTTGCTTTCTATCAATTTCTGAATCAACAAAGATCAACACTTGTGGTTAGTGTATATATATATGAACATGAGCAGGTGATTAATCAAGTAGAAAAGGGTAATTACGCGTTTATGTTCATCGCAGTCCTTTTGAATCTCTAAATGTTTGGACAAATGCTTTGTGAGATGGTGATCCTCTTCTTCAAGTATGTAAGAGCGACTCAAAGTTCGACTCATGAACAGTGAGCCTGCAAGAAAGCTGGCTAGACACAGCACTATTATGGCTTTCCCTGAAGCAGCTTTTGCCCTCATCTCTTATGCGCCTCTTTAGTGCTAAATCAAGACAGAACATCAATAATTGATCATGAGGATGGTAGAAACTCCAACTTAAAGTAAACACTCTACATTTCATAGTTACATATATGCATACAAATTTTTCTTTTTCTAATATAATCAAATCTGTTTTATATGATAAAATGACATTTGCAGGAGATATTTCCGAATCAAGAACGATATGGACTAAAGCTAATATACATCAAGAAACTCAAAGGTCAGATTCAATTTAATAAGAGTTGATAATTTTAACAAACTTGACTCTTAAGATCAATGCTTTAGAATCATGAACATACCTCTCTCTATAAGCGCATGTGAGACACCAAAAGGACTGAATTTCTGGACCTATGAGAGCTGTCAGATTAAGAAACAAGTCTTGAACGTTGAAGAGATGTTATTTATATAAAACGTAAACAAGAATGTAGTTGCAGAACGGCAATGGCGTTTATGTTTTGCTTCTCTCTCTCAATCTGACTGTCTTGTCATGCAATGTGCATGTCCCAACTGCATATAGTAGATATTACAAAAGAAAAAGAAATTTCCACAAAACTAGTTTTGGTTTTGTTTTCGTTTTCCTTTATTTCGCAACATTTTAGGCGCTTCACCTATGTGAATACGCTTAGCGCTGCTTCCACAACACATGACAAGTTTTTTATCAGATAGCTAAAACTTGGCGTGAATGTGGTATAGATATAACATGACGTTGATACTATTGTAGAGTTACATGAAATTGTAACAAGTTTCACTTAAATGCTTCATAAACTAATTCAAACATACCTAAAAATCTCTAATGATCTCTTACAAACTTAATACAGCTTGTAAAAGCTCTGTTTTGCATTTCCATTTGTGTTTCCTTTATATTTAATTTCCTAGAGAAACCGATACATATGTCTATCAAATCGAATCGGTCCATCTTGTTGAGGTTGAATTAAAAGTTTTTTTTTTTTTTTGGTAACAATGTTAAGTATTTATACCATATTCAAGTTGCGATAGAGAATACAGAGAAAACAAAGAAATCAGAAAGACCAAAAACTACGACTAAGAGATCTACGAATACAAGAAAAGAGCGCGACAAGAACACAAAGTGAAACAACAAGCAGGGGCCCAAAGAAGAAACACCGATTCCGAGCCGCGAAGCTCAGACATTTGCGAAATTGCCTCAGCTCCAAAGAACTGGAATCCTCATCGTCGTTGCCACGAGCAAAATCTTCACGAAGCAAGTCCTTAAAACCTCAAAGAAGAGACCGCCTACAGCTTCTCCGAGGACTAACGCAAAAACGGAATCACTAGAGAGGCCTAATCAAAAGTTACAAGAGTCTTAATACATTCGTCGACTGAGCTGCAAGAAATTCTTACAGCCTTAACGTAAAGCCCTTTAGATCGATATGTATAGTTCTATTAAAAGTTAAGCAGAATAATGAACATAAGGATTATAGTATTCTTTCCAAAGTCAAATCACAAAAACTCAAATGGTTTTTTAAGATTTAGTGGTGAAGACACTACTTTTCATTGAGATTGCCGCAGCAATGGAGCAGTGTGTTGTGTGGACCTTCTCTGTCGGACCAAAGGTTACAACCAATGATGCTTACCTCACTATATCTTTTAACTGATGATGTCAATATCTATGGAAATTGACCATATCTCTCTCCAACTTCAAAGATGTATTAAGTCTATGGACTCATCATATGGCTCAAAAGTCAAAACATAGAAGTGTTTGCGGTTGCTGTTAAACGCAGCAATCGCCAAGTAAAACGTTGTATTATGCAGTTATAGCAGTTTTGTGAGACAAAAAAAACTTTATCAGGCACATCACAAAACCAGCTAGCTTGATACATTATTCATTCAAAAGACAAGTTCTCTAAACCTTTTAAACTAACTCTTCATCATTACAAACCCCAAAATCAAATTTAAAAAAACAAAAAAAACTCTACCCCGCCACTTCCAAAACGTATGATTACAACAGGATTATAATAAGCATATATGATCTTCAAAAGATTCCTTCTATTATCCTTCCTAAAGGGTTACAACAAGATGATCTACCATACTTAGTCAAATTCTAGGCTTCTCCGTCGTGGAATCCTTGTTTTCGCCATTTTCTAAATCCTCCAAGCTATTGACTTCGGCGCTATGATGTGTCGCAGATGGATCACACGAATACCATCTTGACCAGAAAAGATAGTTAAAGAAGTTGATGAAACTCAATGAAGCTAAGAGCCAGTAAAAGTGATCTAATCTATCTTTGTTAAGGTCGTTATCGCCTAACCAACCTTCTTTAGTCCCGGAACCATTACTAGAAGTAACTCTGTTCACGGTCGAGACAAGAACAGAGCTAAGATAGAACCCGAAAGAGTAAGAACAGTAAGTCATTGCTGTGAGAAAAGACTGCATACTCTGTGAAGACTGTTTGTAAAAGAACTCCACTAATCCAACAGCTGTAAACATCTCTGATAAACCGAATATCAGAAACTGAGGCGCGATCCAAAAGATTGAGAGTGTTGCATTCTGTTCCAAGAACGATTCTCGTCTCTTCTTTTCCACTAAAGCAGCTGCAACCATTGAGAAAGTTGCTAAGAACAGTCCAGTGCCAATTCTCTGAAGAGGAGAGATTCCGGAATCATTTCCCGCGAATTTTCTAGCGAGTGGGACGAAGAACGTTTCGTAGAGAGGCACAAAGAAGATGAGAATGATGTAAGGAATGGCTTGAAGAGAAGCCGGTGGTATTTGGAAAGTTTTTGTAATATGTGTGTTCATAGAACTTCCTTGCTGAACAGAGAAAGTTTGAAGCTGAGCTAAGATGGTGTTGAAGATGATAGTACACGCGAATATCGGTATGACTGATAAAAGAATCTTGACTTGATGGACTTGTTCGATTGTGCAGAGTCTCCATGGACTCTCCATTGCTTTGCCTTGCGTCTTGATGCAAGCTTTGTCAAGAAACCTGCACGTCAAGAAACGAGCGGTTAGTTAGTTAGTTTAGTTAGTCAATTTGGCGGTTACGATAAAAAGATTAAAACAAGTTACTTGAATTTGTTAGAATGGAGAAGTGGTTTGACACGAACTAGATCCGTTGAAGGTTGGTGAAGCATGTTCGGGTTTGATGGGCAAATCTGTTTTCGTTTAGTGATCGCGGCTACGAAGACCTGATCGATCGACAAATACCAGAAAATGAAGTCAAGATCAAACTCTTATAAATGCCTCAAAATGTACCAAAGACGAATGTTTGAGTTTATATGTGAAAAGAAAACATTTTAAAAAATAATTTAAATTTTTATATTTGTCTAAAGTGTAAACGCAAACGAATATTCGATTCTTGATTTACCTGAGCAATTGGTGTGAAGATGCTACCACGAGGCGGTTTATTCCTATAAAAGTTAGTTCCAGCAACGAGACTAATCATCCCCGCGGCCATAACAGCCGCGGAGACACCAAAACCAACGTCCATGCCAGAATGCGTTTGCACCCAAACTAAGAGTGTAAGTGCAATAAGCTGACCCATTGAGAAGGCGAAGTAAGCAGCATTGAAGAAACTAGATAGCTTCCTCAAATCCTTCCTTTGAAACTGGTTTGCACCGTGAGAGATAATGTTCGGTTTAAGGCAGCCGCTCCCTAAGGCCACCAAACAGAGTGCTGCGTAGAGAGTGACCGCCTTGTAACCATTTGCCTCTACGCAATGTATTGTGCTCTTCATGTTGCATTCTGGTGGTCTCAGCTCTGGGAGATGAGCTTGGACTGACAATAATATGAAACCCTGTTTTATCAATTTAAAAACAAAATTGTCAGCCAAAACTTCTCCTAATTTTGTTAACCAACATTACTTTAGTCTTTTGTCACTAAAGTCTTATATATTTTATGCAGGGTTTAAGAAAGCGCTAGGCGGGTCACCACCCGCTTAGCGCCTACCGCCTAGAACGCCTAATCGGGACTTAGACGATTTTAGGCGGTTTACGTTTACATCATAACAAATTAGAAATATAATATTATACATAAAAATCATATAAAACTATCTATTATAAAAATTAAAATCTTAAATCGAAACAAAAATTAGACAAAAAAAAATTATTTAAGTCATATCAAAACAATATATATAAAGCTAAAATTTATATTTTAAATTTATGTAGTTGAAAATTGAAAAAATACATTAAAACTAAACTTATGCGATTTTAGGCGGTCGAAACGGTCGTCTAGGCGTCACCTAAGCGCCTAAGCGGGGCCTAGGCGACCGCATAGACCGCTTTTTAGAACACTGATTTTATGTAATACTAGAATCAGTAGCTAATATTTTTACCTATAAGTCAGGTGTATGTATTATGAAGCCGTAAATTTCGTTATTATACTATTGCGTGGCAATAACTAGCTCAAAAAAGAACATTTTACTAACATATTATAATGTTTAATTAACTCATAAACCCATTTGCTTTTCCAAAGAACCGAAAGATTTAATTCATAATTCACTTAATTACAACTTTATGTTAAAGTTTTGGACTTTTGTCTAAATATACTTTTAATATCCCGTTTTAATCACAAGTTACTAGTTAGAGATGAAAAGTGATGTAGAATATTCAAGAGCATCTAAAATAGAAATGAGAAAGGCGAAAAGAGAGCTAGGGAGGGAGAGGTACATACAGAGATTTCGATGACGCCGAAAAAGAGCATGGTACGAAAGCTTCCAAGGTATGAATCAGAGAGGAAGCCACCAAGAAGCGAGAGAAGAAACACCGTTCCTATGAAGTTAGTCACGAGGTTTGCGGATTTCGACAAAGGAAAATGCATCTCATTGAACACATATGTGATCAAGTTGTTGCCAACGGCTGCGATAGCCATCATCTCGAAAGCTTGGAAGCCTGAATATAGATATATGTATACGCAACCAATCAATTTAACCTAACATGTATCCAAAATGCTTAACATGGACCAGCCCGGCCATATGCAAGACGCGCTGGTCTAGTCGATATACTCGATATACATAGTTAATGTTAACGAGAGAAGGAGAGGGATACCTAGAACAAAGAGGGCAGCTCTTGTACCACCATGCTTGCTTGGCCTGGATGGTCGACCGCGAAAATCAACACAAATATCGTCCGATGATTCCTCCGACATGTGTAGTCCTCTTTTAGCTTCTTCAGATAGATCATGAACATCCATAGCTCTTTCTATTTTTCTTGTATTATTATGTCAAACAAAGGAAGATATATGTTTGGCTTTAGGAGTTGGCACAAAGTTAAATTAACAAGGTGGGGAGCGAGGAGGTACTTATAATGTCTCGGTCATTCTTAAAAAATTCATGAGAGAGAAACTAGAAAAATATTATGCAATCAAATATTTCTAATTTTCTACATTGATTTTTATTAGAAACTAGACTACAATATTAAATAAGTATAAAATCTTTCTAATAAAAGTAAAAAAAATTCTTTTATCGATAGTGCAAAAAGAGAAACTATGAATTCCTAAAGAGAAGTTCATTTTAAATTATGCTTTTAGTTATTAGAAAACATAAAAATCCTATTCAACAAAAAAAGTTGTGTAAATAACTAATTTAAAAGTGAGATATATCATATAATTAAGTTTACTAAACTTCTTAGTGTATTAGAGTAGTGGGGAGAAATGGACCCACTCTCCAATAGGTTTAAAATGCATCATCATCATCATCATCATTACAAGAAAATTTCAACTAATTTGGCCTGTGGCTCCGGGGCATAAACTATTGTTTACTAGAATGTTTTCTTAACATTTACGGCTGAATATATATATATATATACATAGTTGCGATTTGATTATCATGACTATCTTTGACGAATCTTCCGGCCTTCCCATCAATGTGAGTTCAACCCTTGTCGTCAGTACTATAGTAGAAACTTTACATCAAAAAGAACTAATCAAGTTTAAAATATCATCATCATTTAATTTTAAGAAAATTTTATGGATTTCACAAAATTAAGTAATTAGATATCTATGTACATAACAAGACCAGAAAATTGATGGATATATGCATGTGTTAAAAATAATTAATGTGTTGGACATGGGAGACTTTTTTTTTAATGTGTTTATTGATACAAAATCCTAATGAGTTCAATGGCTATGGGCCAACAGACGAATCCACATATTACAAAATGGAGAAGAAAAAACAGAGACTTCACCGGAGGAAAAGCTCGGAACTGGACGGTTGGTCGGAAGCTGGGAACATACCTGCGAATTCTGGCGTTTACAAAACGACTGCTTCGCTACTTCATGGCCAGACTCGCATTTATTGGCTGGAGTAAACAGATCCAGACGCAAAACGGATTCCGGCGAGAAACTGAACCTGCAATATTTCTTCCAAAACAGATCGACCACAGACTACCTGAGACCTCAACTGCCTAATCCTCTACCTAGCAAAAAGGAAGTGGACATGAGAGATTTATTGATAAACTACGCGTACTAACCAATATAATATTGTGATAAAGTCTGGAGGTATTTAGCTCTCCCGACATTCAAAACAACGACAAAAGAATGGCAAAAACAGGAAAATCGCAGAATTTGGAATCGGATGTACAACTATGTTTTATTTTTTGCCAACAATTCTATAGTAGATGTTGACACAACTATATACCAAATAATCTAAACCAGCAGATTACAACTTTCGTTAATATTTCCAGTTTAATTTATCAATGTTATCATTTGGTATATCAATGTGATATATATTATTAAACCAAAAAAAAAAAAAAAAAAGTGATATATTTTTGGCTTAAGCACATGACACATACGTGAGACTATAATAAATATTTTACGTATCGATCAAGGCTTGTGGGATAATTTCATCCATCTTGAGAGTCAAATCAGGATATAGTTGGACAAATTCCCCATACCTACCATACCTTTCCCACGACAATAAGTAGATCAGATCTTTTTCGAAAATGATGATTCCAAGTGATTCTGCTATATTTATATTTCTTTTGTTATGTTTATAAGAAGCACATGTGTTTAAACATAACATGTAATGGATCTGATTGATAACCAAAAGCTGTACAAATTTTTTAGTTGTTAATTAGCTGGAGCTGTAAGCTTTACTGGAATAGTGTAAAGTTGTATGAAAGAGCTGTACAAGAAAGCTGTACAAAAAAGCTGAGAGTAAAACTGTTTGTAACGCTTTTGATAAAGTTTTTGTAATTAGTAACTATCAAAGCTGTATGTTTTGTACAGCTTTGTAAAGCTGTTACCAATTAAACCCAATATAAAAGAAATAACTTATGGTGTATTAGTAGGTATCTTTCGATGTGTCGATTAAAGAAAGATGAATAGGGGAATGGTTTGGGTCTAAATGGTTTCATGTGGCTCGTTCCCTTACATGAAACCTTACCTATTCAAATAAATATTATGCATTTTATGACATTTATTAGGACCGATATAGCATATCTTGTAGGCGAAAAATAGGTTCTAATTACTTCTTCTGTATATACATGCAAAATATGATAAGACTGATCAAACTTGTTTACTTTTACAACTATGGTGCTTGGTCTGCATGAAGTGATGGCTCTATCGACCGCATAACCAAAGTATATTATTACCTCTAATTGCATGTTTCTCATTTTATTTAGACGGGTATATTCTATTTATATGATTTCTAATTTTTTATGCATACACACAACAAATGATCGACCAAATACTAAGCTAGTTGTTTAAAATTTCCGCTACTTTCTAACTTTGGATGTGGAACGAACCTAATCGACATTTTCTACAAAACTCGCCCAAAACCAATCAAATTTATCGGTTAACCAAACAGAAGTTAAATGCAACCGGGGACAAACTGTTTTTTAGCTAGTCTACTACTCAAAACTAAACATGAATCTTTTCATCTAGACCGGTCCCCACTACCTTTCTATATAAATTGTAAAAATGGTTAGAACAAGAAAGCTACTTTTACACTATACTGTACTTATAATAGTCAAATCAATGAAGTCCAATCCAAGCAAGCATCACATATATGACATGAAAACGAATGAAGAGACGTGTGACATATTCTTTGATGTATAAACTTATAAGTTGGATACAACTGTACCCTCAAATGTGACCTTCCCTTGATCCCCTTTTTTTTTTTTTCAATTTCAAAACCGTTTATATATATTTATGTTCTTTCACCATAAGCCCTTTTGTTGGCATGACCTACTAATAACAATTGTCAACATCCAAAATGCCCTTGTGCATATGCGACCAAATTCAATTATGTATGATCCCATTCGACCAAATACAACTATTTACAACCAATTATCAATCCCTATTTCTCTTCTTCTTTAAATCAATCGTCATCTATAATTTTTTTCTATATATTCAATTTAATCGATATCTTATATCGAATCTCCATTTTCCGGCACTTCCGTCGTTCCATGGCTCTCTTTATTTGTAATAAATATATGTTAAAGTTTCACAATTAGTTTAAATAAAACTTTACAATAAAAAAAAATATGGTTTAATCTATTCATTGTTCATTGATTTATATTGAAAGTTTATGAAACTTAACATAGTATTAGAGTTTACTTTGCTGAACAAGTAGAATTTACTACCGGTTCTAGATTAAGATTTGTTCAATATAAGTTACAAACAAAAAATCTTCAATTAGAAAACAAGAAGGACCTACACTAAAAATATATAACGAATATGATTTAGTTTATTCATTGTCAATTAATTTTGAGTACGAGTTCATAAAACATAACAAAACCGCTTTACGTTCCCTTCAAAATTTGACTAACGCAGGCTACACAGCTTTCTTGATCTCCTTCTTAGGGTAATTTTCAAGAATAATTAGTTCTTTATTGTAAAAGTGAAATATTTAAGGTGAAGACTCCAAATTCTTGCACCCGTTGATTAGGGTTAATTTAATCAAATCAGCGCAGAAAACTCTTTTTTTTTTACTACACATCCAGGGGCGGATCTAGGTGAAGAGGTGGTGGGGTACGTGCCCCACACTGATTTATAAATTTTCGCATGTAGTTTATAACATTAGAATATGACTTGGCAATTTGGTTGTGACATGTATATTAATTCAACCATCTCAGGTTCGAACCAGTTCAATGGTGTTTTTTTCTTTCATTTTCTATTAGTTTTTCAAATAATATTATTTTTAATTTGTTTTTTTGGTTGACCCTTTTTATTTAAATGTCAATTTTAATTTTTGTCTACATTGTTTATTTTTTTATTAATATATATAGTTAATAATATATAAATATTAAAATAAAATAAAATTTATATAAAAAAATTTGTGCCCCACCCAAAATTTTGTTCTGGATCTGCCACTGTACACATCCTTATATATATAGATTTACTCTCGAGTGGTGATAAACAAAATGAACAGTAGATGGTCGGTTTTGTTTAGCGTTAAGTGAAGAATATTTCTTCTCAAGCTAAAATTGCGTTGACATTTTCTTCATCATTATTCATTTTCTCCCATCTTTTGCCCTACCACTCCACTCTCACTCTATTAATGTACTACTTATAGTGTTGTGTGTGTAACGCTTGTGCTTCCAACTATACAAAAAAAAAAAACAGTACACGAAGTTGATATTGGGCCTTTGTGTCTTGTTGTATAAATATAAGAGTCATGATTGGTGGTCAAGGTCAACTAGTAGCACAGGTCACGATTGTTGGTCAACTATTCCATTATATTTGATGAACATATTGGCTTCGATCTTCTTTACACAATTTAACGGTTTATATAGATGGTGAGATAACAAAGAGTTAATTCAGTTGATAGCCACTCCTGATGAGTGGCATGCTTTTACTTCGGAATTAGAATATTTTAGTTTTTGAAAATTCTTTTTTTCTACTTTTACTTTGTCTTTTATTCCACGTTACAACAATGCATGTGCTGACTGCCTTGCTAAAAAAACACGAGTACAAGAATTTATTTTTGTCCATGTAAGTTCTTCCACTCCGGATTGTTTTTTTTTTCCGAAGAAAACCGTCCGTTCTTAGTTTAAATGGATGATTTTTGTTGTTGTTAATATATATATATATATATGAGATAACAAAATATATATTTGAATGAAATAAAATTTGCAAAATGAGTGTGAGTGTATCTATGTATCTATTTAGTAACCTTAGATATGGTAATGCATCCGTTTTTCAAAGATTACTAATCCACATGAGTTAAAGAGAGAGGAACTTTTCCCATTGATAGATAGAACTTGTAACCTACGTTGGTTAAATGTAATCTACACAATTTTTTTTTTTTTTGAATGAAATCTACACAAAATTTCTCACATGTATATATTTTCGGGTTGAGTTATATATGAACTTAATTTACTCATAAATTATTTGGATCGACGATCGATTGTATATTTGTAGTATTTGGGTTGGCTAATAATAAGCTCTTTTCTAGAAACAACTCTGCACTAAACATTCATTTTTCCCACTTGATTAAGTAAAAAGCCTTATATCGTGCACAGTCCCAACAACTCGATCAATGGGCGAAGGAAGAAACTTTATACTATAGATAAAACCTTTTTAAAATTTTGGTGGACCTAGGTTATTTTATTTTATTATAATGAATAAAATTTGAAAAACTTTATAATGGAAATGTATAATGCATGAAACATAAACTAGAACGAGATTCATGCCATTTGAAAAAAGCCTATTTTATTCCATTGTTATTTGAAATGTAGGACGAGAATACAACAACTGATTATGAACGTGAATTAAAGCCAATCAAATTCCATATTTTAAATGCTTAAACTCATACAGAAACAAAAAGAAAAACTAGAGGAAAGGCACCTATCATATAAAACATAAAATTCACATAAAGTTATAAAATTATTTTGATATATAACTTTTAAAATAATTCTCAAAACAAGATATGGAATCATATAGGACTCGAAGATGGTTCGTCATAGGCCTGGACACAAATATGGATCCACGTAAAAACGAACCGAAATTGATGGGTACGGTTCGGTTCCGGTTCTAGTGAAAATATCGATTGGATCTTAAATCAAAGAACCATGGGTATCGGTTCGGTTCGGGTAAGAACCGATATCCATTCGGGTACCCAAAAAATATAGCACATTAACCTATATTTATATAACCCAAAGTCTCAAACCCATCTAGACATAAACCTAACTACCCAAGCCTAACAACCAACCATATCTCTCTTAGCCTCTTACATATTTCTCTGAAACCTAAAGAGAAACTCTAGTTTGTTCTCCTTTTCTCAAAGAAGGAGACGCCGCAGACAACAACTCTCTCTTTCGAATCATTGCAAATCAAAGACAAAGCTTCTTTTGGTGTCTTTAAAACTTGTGTTTTGTGTGGTATTTTTGAAACTTTGGGTGTATTTTGACTTAATACTTTCCAAGTTTCAACTATTTTTTGAATTTGTAATGCTATGATGACTAATATGTGATGTTGCATTGTATACTTGCATAATTGCATTAGAATTTTGCATTTTAATTCTATTGTTTTTTCGGTTCAAAAAATATCCGAAACAGTTTGGTTCCTATTCGGTTCCAAAATTTATTACTTGAACCGAACCGAACCGAATAGGAACCGAACCAGAACCGAACCGATATTGATTTGGTTCCAATATGGTTCCTAAATCTCAGAACCAAAATACTTGGAACCGAACCGAATACCCAAACGCCCAGACCTAGTTCGTCGTATAGGACTCCTTCCTTTACCTAAACCCATTTGATGAATCATCTTACTCGCACAAACCACTAGACCACACGCTCTTGGTTTTCATTTTTTATTTATTTATTTTATATTAAATTCTTTTTGTATTTAAGAAATGTCGAAAATTATATAGAAGTCACTTCTTAAGCGGAAACACACATACATTACATGAAACGAGAATTTCGTAAAAGGGATAGACCAAAAATGGACGGTATATACATGAATTTTGCCCATCCCTAGCTTTAGCCTTTAGAGATGCAGCG